TTCTGTGTTGAAAGTAGATGTTTCCGAGTTAGTGGCGATCATGTGATTAGCACCTGCTCGATACTCAACTCTAACTAGTGATGTGCGATACCACTGATTTCCTTTCCGATCTGATACCAAGTAATATTCAGGGTGGTATCAACGATACTGATCCGATACCGATACTTACAAAAACAAAAACTTATTTTATTTATTGTATCTCAAATTATAGCGTCATAATGATTACAGGGCATCAGATTACTTGTTCTTATCACTTAGTAATGCAGAGCTCATCATATAGAAATGAAAAAACTGATGTTGTGCACCTTGCCTGCCTGCAGCACTAAAGGACTCCGAGAGACGTCTGTCTCGCCCTAGCAGCACCTGTCCCTGTCCTCCTCTTCAGTTCGACTCAACATACGCTCGTCATATTCTGTGATATGATTTACTTTGAGGTGTTTGACAAGGTTAGTGATGTGGCCACAACCATACATGCCAACCCTGCCGAAAATCTCCCGGAGCCACCATTCTCCCAAATTTCTCCCGATTTTCCACCCGGACAACAAAATTGAAAAACCATATTGCAGAATTCATAGCGCGGCCCAGCCAATTCCAGTTTCCAACAATGACGGCAGCTACTTAGTTTTAATACTACTCTTATTTCTCTTTCCGGGTCGCAAAAAAACATTTTCAGGTGAGAATGTAGCTGTGTAAACTTCAAATATCTGAGCCGAACGACACATCGTTTTCAAATCCCCGCGGTCTTTCACTAGTCGGGTTAAACATGATATATAAGTCACTTTGATAACTTAAAAATGTTATTGTTTGGCTTTTTCAGTGTTTTATTTGTTCGTGAGTAAATCGGTTTGGCTGAGATTAAAGTTATTAGATTCAATTAAATTAAATTTAATCCCTCGGGAGGGTTCCTCCGGGGTTTTCACACAGCTGAATAAATGTCAAACAGAAAACTAATTAAACAAAGTGTGAGACGGTCGAGAGTTTACGCCAGCGCCCGGTTATATTTTAGATAGCAAGGAGCAGACGGCAGAGTTTCACTCCACCGAGGGAGCTCGTGACATACTACCCGGCTTTCTTTAGACCGCGAAGGCCGGGTCCTCAGGTGGAAGCAGCCTCTGAATTTGGACACCCCCGCTGTATTTTATCCGATAAATCAACACTGTAAAATGTATTTATCACACACACCCCCAACAGCCCTTTTGAATGTCTCCCTAATTCTGAGGTCTCAAGGTTGGCAAGTGTGGCCACAACACCTCACTTTTTTGCCACATGTATGCAAACCACGTCTCAGCTGTTTGTGGAGATAAAATACGTCCGCACAATTACGCTCAGCCATTGTTGTGAGTGCGCGCGCCAAGGGGCTGCGACACATTTATACAGCCGTATTTCGCACATGACTATGAAAGGCGGAAGAGGATGTAGTTCCTTTGAATGTAGATAATCTGAATGATATAGTTTCTTTCCACTGTGTTCCTGTTAATGATAAACTACAAATTTACCCTAAATTACTAAAATATCAATATTTTAATGTGAGAATCGATTCTAGAACATAAATTATTGGTATAGAAGGAATCGATATTTCAGTATCGATCCACATCATTAACTCTAACATGTCGGAGTTTCCTTGAATGCACCATCATGAAGAGAAGCGTACCTGGCTAGCATACCTGCTGGAGCACGTGGCACCCAGCCTGAGCTGATGGAGGCTTCGTGCTGTGAAGATGATTTAACAGGTACGTCTAACCTGACTCGCTGCAGGTGCAGCCTCACAGCAGAACATTCATCACCTTTACATTTATTAAAAAAAACGATGAGTGTCAGTGGAAAACTCCTCCAAAGTTTAAATATGCTATTGAATTAAAATGTATGAGCAGCATTTCAGTTTTAATCTCAGAATTACACGTTTTATATTTATTATTATTATTATTATTATTTTATATTTTATTTTTTATTAAAATGGCTCCAGGACCTTCCAAGAGTTAAACAGCTTAATTGTCAGCTGTTTGTTCAAAGCCGTTTGGTATCCAGGTGAGATGTCAGTCAGGTATAAATGTGGGATAAACTGGGCCACAACATCTAGAGTTTTGGCTTTCAGGCAACTAAAGTTAATGTCATGTGTTCATGTCAATAAAGTTGAGGTTGTGGTACATTACCATCGAGCTAACTCACCTGCTGTGTGACAACCTCAGTCAGAGATGGGGTCAGGCTGTATTTCTGTAGCATCTTTGACCATCACGGAGTTTCTCAGCGTGCACGCGGTCTCTGTGATGTCCACATGGTATATTACAGGGACCACGTGGTAACGTGAACGACTTCAGTGCAGCTGAATTATCAGCGGTGTGACACTAGAGCAAATATAAGACAGCAACGTTCTCAACAACCTGCAGATGCTTCAGGGCAGCTTTAAGACAAGTGAACAATGAGCTACAATTATCCAGACGTGTTGAAATAAATGCATGAATAACAATAAATTTTGACAGAATGAGCTACACACAATAGACGCTGGCTTGACTGTAGTGGTGTATTGAAATATCGATTCTTCCGATACCAGTAATTTATGTTCTAGAATCGATTCTTATATTAAAATATTGATATTTTAGTATTTTGGGGTAAATTTGTAGTTTACCATTAACAGGAACACAGTAGAAACTATATCATTTGGATCTAAATTGGAAGGAACTACTTCCTCTTCCGCATTTCATAGTCATGTGTGAAATACGGGCTTAAGTTTTATTTCTATATAATTCTGAATTATTAAGCAATAAGAACAAGTAGTCTGATGTCCTGTAATCATTATGAAGCTATATTATTATTACAATTACATAATACAATTATATATGAAATACAATGAAATATTACTTTTTTGTACAAAGTATCGGTATCGAATCAGTATCGTCGATGCCACCCTGAATTTTACTTCGTATCGGATCGGAAAGGAAATCAGTGGTATCGCACATCACTACTTGACTGTTAAATCAGGAAATTATGTCGCTGATGTGCGAAAGCTGCCCCTAGACCTTTCAGACTAAAGCACAACCAGAATTGATTTATATTAGGCACATGGAGGGAAGGATGCTAAAGCAAGGTGGCTGTTTGATTATTTCAGGTGCAGATTTGTCCTGCTGGAAATTAGATGATTCTGCTGCTTTGATTCACTTTACAATTGTGTGTGTGTTTTTTGTTTGTGTGTCCCAGTTATCCTGCTGTGTGTTTTCTGATATTGAAATCAGACTATGAAAGGTTCCAGAAGGTTCCAATTAACTCCCTGTTTGCCTCTACATGCCTCGATTCATATATTAATCAGGTCCTGTAGCTCAATTATTGTTTACTGACCAGTGAAGTAAGTGTGTGTGTGTG